AAATACAAAAATTAGTCGGGCATGGTGGCGTGCACCTGTAATCCAGCCTACCCAGGAGGACTGAGGCAGGAGAATTGCTGGAACACGGAGTGAGCTGAGGTTGCGCCACTACACTCCAGCTTGGGCAACAGAGCAAGACTCTGTCTCAAGAAAAACAAAAACAAACAAAAAAAACCTTCAACTTAATTATATCTCAGTTCTGCAGGTCAGAAGTCCAGCAAGAGTTGGTTGGTTCCTCTGTTGAGATCTCACAAAGCTGAAATCAAGGCATCAGCTGACCTAAGCTTTTGTCTGGTACTTCTGGGGAAGAATGTGCTTTCAAGTTCACTTAGGCTGTTAACAGAATTCAATTCCTTGTGGCTGCGGGGCTGAGGTCTCTGTTTCCTTGCTGGCTGTTAGCCAGGAGCCTTTCTTATTTCCCTAAGGCTACCTGCATTCCTTGTCTAATTGTTCCTCTCACTATCCTGAATCTCTCTGACTTTTGCTTTGCCACATGTGTACTGCTTTTAAGGATTTATGTGATTAGATTGGGCCCACAGAGTTAATCCAGGATTATTTTCGTTTCTTAAAATCTGTAACCTTAATTACATCTGCAAAAAGTCCCCTTTGCCCTGTAATGTAGCATATTCACAGGTTTTAAGGATTTGAGCATGGACATTTTTTAGAAGGCCATTCTTCTGCCTACCGTGGTGATTATTTTTCTAGAATTGTTTTCTGGCATATCCCTCCCTTAGGTGATCTAGAGAAATACCTTGTATCAATATGGCTTAATTTATTTTCGTTATAACATTAGGTTTTTATATTAGCAGTTCTTTAAAAAAAGACAAAGATATTAGCAGTTCTTTTAAAAAAAAATGAAACTGAACAGAAAAGAGTGACTATGGATGTAGAAGAGCTAAAATAGATAAAGAAATCAATAATAAACCTTATAAATAAAATGAGCATAGCAAGTAACTGATACAGGAGCAATGTGATGTTTCTTTTACCCAGCTTCCAAAGAATACAAGGTTGAACAATTACTATATTTAGCATTATTTCAAGTATAGATGTTTTCCTGAAGATATTAGTCTGCTATTATATACAAGATCATCTCCAATTTTGCATACTACTAAATTTGTTTGAAATTAGATATAATTTTCTTTTCTCTCAAAACTGCCCATCACAAGAATCATAAATGGGTTTTGTTTTCCATTTTTAACTTATCAAAATAGTAATGTAAATGAAACTAAACATCAATTCAATAATACAGAATTTTAGGGAGTCTACTATATGTTGGATATTATGCTGGATCAAGACAATACAATTTACCTTACGCTCCTTGACTGCAGGAAACTGGCAGGCATATAAACACATAAATTATAATACAGTACTGTGCTGCAAGGGCAATAAGAGAAGTGAGCACAGGTGGAAAGAAATGATTTATTCTATGAGTAGTGAGGTAAGATTTTCCTGGCTGAGGGACAACCAGATCTTTAAGAGGATAAGGTGGAAGGGGAGCTAAGCCAACAGCATGACCAAGGCACTAAGTATGAAAAGGTAACAGAGTATCTGGGGAAGTACAGACATGGCTGGAGGATAGAGAGTGAGAGGCAAGTGGTGAAAGTCAAGGCTAGAGGTCGGCAGGATCAGAGCCTATCATTACATCTGGTTTATTCTGTAAAGATGTAGTGCCAGCAAAAGCTTTTTAATTTGGGAATGCATGATTGGACTTGTACTTTCAAATATTACTGTGGTTGCGCAGAAGAGACTGACTGGGTTAGAGGTTAGTTACAGGCTGGAAAACCAGTAGATGATGTTGAGGAGAAAGGATGAAAGCCTAAACTAGAGCAGTGGAAATGCGAATGTGGAGCAGAGGAAAGATTCAAGAAATTCTGCAGTAAAACTCATCGGACTTCATAATTGATGAAAGGTATGGTGGTAGACAAGGGAGGGGGAGGAAGGGTATAAATAGAGAAGCAGGACTTGAGAGTTATTTGAAAATTTCTGACATGGGAGGAAGATCTGGATTTTTCATAACATCTGACTAAATCAGGGGATGAAAGAGCATAAGGGGAGAGGGGATGGTGATGTCCTCTCCTTGACCAGACTTACTTAGGCCTTTCTGAGCCCTCTTCTCAACTAGAACTCATCCTTGGGCCCCTGTCTTAGACCTGCTGAGTCCAGTTTTACCAAGAATGTTGCTAAGTAAGTTTAGAGAGTATCCCCTAGCCTTGATAATTGATCATCCCCACCTATCTTTGGCAAGAATCTTGTAAGTCGGTTTAGCAAGAATATCCCCCACCCTTAATGTCATCTCTTAGTAATTTTCCATGCACTGACCCCTCAGTCTTCTTGTTGGCTATAAATCCTAGCTGTTTCTGTTGTATTAAAACTTAAGGCCGGCCTGGCGTGGTGGCTGAAGCCTGTAATCCCAGCACTTTGGGAGGCCGATGCGGGTGGATCACGAGGTCAAGAGATTGAGACCATCCTGGTCAACATGGTGAAACCCCGTCTCTACTAAAAATACAAAAAATTAGCTGGGCATGGTGGCACGTGCCTGTAATCCCAGCTACTCAGGAGGCTGAGGCAGGAGAATTGCCTGAACCCGGGAGGCGGAGGTTGCGGTGAGCCGAGATTGCGCCATTGCACTCCAGCCTGGGTAACAAGAGCGAAACTCCGTTTCAAAAAAAAAAAAAAAAAGAATTAAAACTTGAGGCCAATCTCTTGCCCCCCACAGTGACAGTCTTGGTGCCTACTGCAATACTTCTGAAGTCTTCTTTGCCATTTTAACAAGTGTCAGAATAACTTTTCTTTTGCAACAGCGAGAAATGTCTCTTAAAAACCAAATTTTCTTCCACAGGGCCTATAAAGGTTAATTGGTGCATACATCTTTTAACTCTCCTGTAGCTAAATAACATGTCTGGCTTATCCACCACTGGGGTTTACAAGGCATTATGATGTACATAATCCAGACACTGTGTCCCAAGAACATAGCAAGCTGGCTTTCCCTCCTTGAGTTAAAAAAACAAAACAAACAAAAAACTATCAGTCTAACGTCCACTACATTTGACAGGTCACAAAATTCCCTTCCTTAAGGACTTTATAATAATCTGACAGGGGGTAAAGCACACACACCCATGAGTAGTGTATAAGCCTTGAGGGCACAGTCTAAGTCTTGATAACATTTTGAGGTTGAGAACTAGTTGAAACTGATCTGTTTTCCTGACCTCAATTTAATTGCAAGGTCACTTCAAGAGGGTAAAGAGCTATTGCCAACCAAATTCACTATTGTAGCATAAAAGATTTAATTGACAGCACGTATAGGAATGGGCAAGGCTGTGTTCTAAAGAAACTTTAAAAAAACAGACACAAGCCCGGGTGCTGTGCCTCATGCCTGTAATCCCAGCACTTTGGGAGGCCGAGGCAGGCAGATCACGAGGTCAGGAGCTCAAGAGCAGCCTGGCCAACATAGTGAAACCCCATCTCTATTACAAATACAAAAAATTAGCCGGCTGTTGTGGCGAGTGCCTGTAATCCCAGCTACTTGGGAGGCTGAGACAGTAAAATCCCTTCAATCAGGGAGGCGGAGGCTGCAGTGAGCAGAGATCACACCACTGCACTCCAGCAAGGGCGACGGTGACAGATTCCATGTCAAAAAAAAAAAAGTCACAAATATGAATGTCGTGTAATTGCCATGTGTTGCAAAAAGTTTTTTTTTTAACCTTTGAAAAACGTGAAAGTCATTCTTAGCTCCCAGCTATAGCTGAACGCGGTGGGCTGGATTTGCCCTGAGGGCTGTAGTTGCCCCTTTGATACACATAAAACGACAGAAAGTCATTCTTAGTTCCCAGTTATAGCTGAACGCGGTGGGCTGGATTTGCCCTGAGGGCTATAGTTTGCCCCTGTGATACACATAAAACGCCAGAACTTTAAAAAGATTTGTTGGCTGGGCACGGTGGCTCACGCTTGTAATGTCAGCACTTTGGAAGGCTGAGGCGGGTGGATCACGAGGTCGAGAGATCGAGACCATCCTGGTCAACATGGTGAAACTCCGTCTCTACTAAAAATACAAAAAACTAGCTGGGCGTGGTGGCGCGTGCCTGTAATCCCAGCTACTCAGGAGGCTGAGGCAGGAGAACTGCCTGAACCCAGGAGGCGGAGGTTGCGGTGAGCCGAGATCGCGCCATTGCACTCCAGCCTGGGTAACAAGAGCGAAACTCCGTCTCAAAAAAAAAAAAGAAAAAAAAGAAAAAAAAATTGTGTTAAGTGTGGCACCACCTGCGGTTTACCTAACTTCCAATACAGTAATATATGCCAAATCGCTTTTTTTTTTTTTTTTTTTAGACGGAGTTTCGCTCTTGTTACCCAGGCTGGACTGCAATGGCGCGATCTCGGCTCACCGCAACCTCCGCCTTCCTGGGTTCAGGCAATTCTCCTGCCTCAGCCTCCTAAGTAGCTGGGATTACAGGCACGCGCCACCACGCCCAGCTAGTTTTTTGTATTTTTAGTAGAGACGAGGTTTCACCATGTTGACCAGGATGGTCTCGATCTCTTGACCTCGTGATCCACCCGCCTCAGCCTCCCAAAGTGCTGGGATTACAGGCTTGAGCCACCGTGCCCGGCTGCCAAATCGCTTTTAAGTGACATCTAGTCTGGGTGGCCATGCCCAGGAATGGATATAAAGAAAGGAGCGCGGCCATGGTGCGCACCACCCTCCAGGAGACTGGTATTGCAGTCCCCAGCTCCGAGGAACAGAGACGCGGGCAGGGGCTTCAGGGATGTGGAGAGGGAAACTTATCTCTGTTGACAGGGGGATCGCAGCCCGCAAACAAGCAAGCCAGGACTCTGTTCCAAGGTCCCGCCCACGAAGGCAAAATAAAGTCCCAACGCTTTCAGTCCGGGACAACGCAACCAGAGCGCAGGTCGCCCCACCGGCAAGCCACGCCCCGCGCACACGCACGCACGCACGCACGCACGCACGCACGCACTCACGTCTGTCGCAGCTCCCCGCCTCGCGCTCCGTCATGCTCTATTGCGCATGCCTTGGGGAGGGGCAGCAACAGAGACTGACAGTGGGGCAGAGGCCTGAGCGAGGGGGAAAAAACCTCTCCCGGGCCCGCGGGTAGACCAAAACGGCTAGTGCGTCACTTCCTCTGGGGGCGGGACGGGGCGGGGCTGAGTAGGCGGCGACCCGGCAGCTGCGTGAGTGTTTGTGTTGAAAGCTCAGCTGATGCAGGCCGGCCGGAGTGGACGTCAATGCCGGGAACAAGCGAGTCGCCGCCGCCGCCCTAGTGACTGCGGCCTGCATCCCGGTAAGTGGCCGTGACAGGGGCGGGACGGTAGGAGGCGGGCTGATCGTTCTGGACCCTGGTTCGGCGCTCCGGGTCTTCCTCTCTCTTCGGAGGGCACTTCCAGAGCGAGAGGGCGGGGAGACGCCAGCCTTTGGGGAGGACCTGGCGCTGGAAGGAGCCCTCGGGTCCTGGAGCTCTTTGCTGCGTGACGCCCTCCGCCCCTGTGGGCCTTGCTGCCCCAGAAGCACAAACTGTGTTTGGTTTCGCCGGTCCCGCCCTCTTCCTCCTGTCCCATCCGCACGACTCCCTCCCCAAGTTTCCTAGAGTGTCTGCCTTTCCCTGCACTCTAGTGTTCTCCAGTAGTTAACTGGTCACTCTCGGGAGGGTTTCCCTGCTCTACAGCATTCTCGACTGTCAGTGTGCACCTGATGATGCTACTGCCTGATATTTTTTGTTAGCGATCTCTTTCTAACCCCATCAGTGTTTGATTCCATCCCTGACCACTTGCTTAAGTGGATTCAGTGTATGAATCACTGTGTTGCAGTACTTCCTCTCCCTGTGTCATTTCTATCATTATGCTGGAAGGAACCTGCTTTCCTTAATACAATGATAACTTTAAAATGGTGACTCATAGAAAAAACTTAGGAGAGTTGTGGCATAAGGGACTATCGTATATTCCTGTTTAAAATACTGTTTTCATTTCCAGTAGCAGTTGTATCCTTGTTCTGCAAACCTAATTGCTGAGAGTTCAAAAATGACAAATGTTTCAGTATATTAAGAACATGCTGTTAAACACTGAAACATTAAAAATTGAAAGGTTGGCCGGGCGCGGTGGCTCACGCCTATAATCCAAGCACTTTGGAGGCCAAGGCGGGCGAATCATCTGAGGTCGGGAGTTTAAGACGAGCCTGACTAACATTGTGAAACCCCGTCTTTATTAAAAAACAAAACAAAACAAAACAAACCTGAAAGCTTATGCCTTGTATGAGGCAATTGTATCAAGCGCATTGTAGCTATTTTGTTAAACTGCTTATGCAAATTAGTGGTACTTTCAATATAAGAACATGTTTTTATTTAGTAATTTTGTCATCAACTTTTTCTTACTATTGATCTCGTTTTTCTATTTCTATATCAGGCCTAAGTAAAAATCTTGTAAACGTGCTTTTAATGGGTGATGTTGAATGAAAAGGTCAGTTTTACTATTCACTTGTTTAACATGCAGAGTTGATGCAGGAACAGCCTGTACTTTGAGTTGTTTTTTTGAACCCCAGTTGGATAGAGGGATTGTGCTGAAGTTGCATATTGCTTCACTCGTGGAATATATATTTGTAAAAAGGTCGGAGTTAGAACGCTTAGCCGTAGACACCTTTCTCTCCTTTCCTTTGTGGTGGTGGTTGTTGATGGAGTCTCTCTGTCGCGCAGGCTGGAGTGTCCTGGCGTGATCTCAACTTATTGCAACCTCCGCCTCCCATGTTCAAACGATTCTTGTGCCTCAGCCGACTAATTTTTTTAAAGAGAGAGGGGTTTCGCTGTGCTGGCCAGGCTGGTCTCGAACTCCTGCCTCAGGTGATCCGCCTACGCCTCCCAAAGTGGTGGGATGACAGGTGTGAGCCACCGCGCCAGGCCAGTCATTTCTTAATTCAAATCTTTCTCTGCAGTACTCATGTCTTTTATTCTTTCATTATCCATTACTTTAAAAAAAATTGCTCCTCTGTTCGTTTCCAGTGTCCTGATTTTTTCTGGGTGTCTTTTCTCCTGTTTTGTTTTAGAATCTTTTCTTCCTCTTCCTAACTCTGTGTGACTGTCAAGGCTCTACCCATGTTTCTTTCTCTAAACCAGTTTCATATTAGAAACCCAAGTATACTTTAATAGACATGTGAATACCTTAAAATGTTATGGAAAATATAGTTTGTATTGCAAATACACATTTTTCAAGGAAGAAGAGCTTTTCTCAGGTTCTCTGATCCCAAAATACTTATGTACTATTACTGTAAATTGTCATCTGGTAAATCCATCTAATGTTGCGGTTTCAGCTGCCATTATGTTGGTAACTCCACACATAAATCCGGAGTCTGTGTACATTTCCATTTGAATATTTCACTGTTACTTCATCCTGTAGATCCAAAAGAAAATGTGTTTTTCCTCTCATATTAAATGAGAATACTTCACAGTTTTCTCATATTCACAAATGGCATTCTCCATATTTTTCAGATTTAAAATTTTGTAACTCTCTTGACGCTTCCCTCTTGTTACCCCATTCTTCGCTGTTAAGTCCTGTGTTTCATTGTTCTCTCCTTTTTCCCCTTCTTTCAAAGTGCTCAGAGTGACCCTCTTTCTTTCCCACACTAGTATTTGCTGGGTGAGTTGTGAGAGCCTTACGTCGGAAAGTGGTCAGCTTGGGGTAGTAGAGTAGTAAGAAAAATTTACCGGCAACAGTATAGGTATGAAAAGGAAAGTTTTATTAGATAGAGCACTGCAGAAGAGTGCAGTGAGGTGCCTCAGCAAGAGAGGACAGTGGACCACAGTGGATTATTTCTTAGCTGTAAACACCTTCCTGTCCTGCCTTTTTTGTTGTTGTTATTAACAGAGTCTCTCTCTTTGTTGCCCTGGCTGGAGTGCCCTGGTGTGATCTCAACTCATTGCAACCTTCACCTCCCAGGTTCAAACGATTCTGGTGCCTCACCCTCCGGAGTAGCTAGGATTACAGGTGTGTGCAACCACACCTGGCTAATTTTATTTATGGACCTTAAAGCAGGAGCTGAAGGGTAACTTGGACCATATTAGCCACATAGGTCGTGATCAGTGATTACATTTGTAGACATTTCGGTGCTTTGATATCAGCAAAGGTTGCACGGTTAGTTTTGACATGCATACATTCTGGACATGTATAGAAATTCTAGTTACTTATAAATTTTTGGGAATGAATCCTGGTATCAGATGCCTGTTTTAGCTAATAGAGAAATCTAATTATTTCTAAATTCCTCAGAGAAGGAGTTTTGCCTCTGGTGGGTCTGCTTGATGGCCACCAGGTGATCTTTGCTCTCCTCAGTACTATTACTACTTCAGACTCTTGTCACCCTTTTGCCTGCGTTACAGCAATAATTAAGTGACAACCCCTGTAAATTCATTCTTTCCATCCTTAGCTGGGCCTCCACCTAACACTTCCCTTAATTCAGGCATCCCCAAACTACGGCATGCGGCCCCCTAAGGCCATTTATCTGCTTCCCACCCCCACCCCCCGCCCGCACTTCAGGAAGGGGCACCTCTTTCATTGGTGGTCAATGAGAGGAGCACAGTATATGGTGGCCCTCCAACGGTCTGAGGGACAGTGAACTGGCCCCCTGTGTAAAAAGTTTGGGGACGCCTGCCTTAATTCCTCTAGTTAAAACTCAATTCCCTTCTCTAGTGGTTGGTCCAAGCCTCTTCATTTTATTTGTTCCTCCACTGTATTTATACTGCCTCTATTGCTCTTTTTTCAGTTGATGATAGCATGTCATTTCACATTCTTCTTCCTATGTTTTTGCAATCTAAATTCTGGCTGAATGTATTCTCAAAACACTTACCTTGCGTTTACCAGCGTTGTGATTTGGGAGCAATTAAACTTAATGATTTTGTTGGTCATCTTTGTGTTTTGTAATTTTTGCTTGGTAGTTCTTGTTTTGGAGAAAAGTATATTAAATCTCTCATGATTATGAAATTGTCGAGTAATGGTTCCCATATTTTGGCCTTTTGTACTATATTTTAATGCCAAGTTGATAGGTGGTTTCATAAATGTGTCATATTGGAAAGAAATAATGCAAAGTTCTTACCATAGTCTAGTCTTCATTTTCTGCCTGAATCTTGGGTCTGTGACCCCAAAATATCTGAAACAGGTCTCAGTGAATTAGAAAATGTTGTTGAGTTTAAGGACGCACCGGTGACACAGCCTCAGGAGGTCCTGCTGACGTGTCCAAGATGGTCGGATCCCACTTGACTCTATACATTTTAGTGAGACAATGCATTAATCAGTTACATTGGTTTGATTTGGAAGGGCAGGACAACCCAAATGCAGGGGGCTTCCAGGTTTCTGACTGGCAGTTGGTTGAAAGAATTACTATCACTGGGCGGGGTGGTTTAGGCCTGTAATCCCAGCACTTTGGGAGGGCAAGGCGGGTGGATCACCTGAGGTTGGGAGTTGGAGACCAGCCTGACCAATATAGAGAAACCCCATCTCTACTAAAAACACAGAATTAGCCAGGTGTGTGGGGGCACATGCCTGTAATCCCATCTACTCGGGTGGCTAGGCTTGAACCCGGGTTGTGGGGGCACTCCATCTAGCCTGGAGAACAGAATAAGACTCCCTGTAAAAAAAATTTAAAAAGTTACTATCAGTGGAAAGGAATGTCTGGGTTACCTTAAGGAGGTGTGGACACCAAGGTTTTGTAATGCAGATGAAGCCTTGAGGTCACAGGCTTCAGAGAGAATAGATTGTAAGTGTTTCTTTTTTTTTTACTTTTTTTTGTTTTTGAGAAGGTGTCTTGTCTCACTCTGTCACCAGGCTGGAGTGCAGTGGCGAGGTCTCAGCTCACTGCAATCTCCAACTCCCTGATTCAAGCAATTCTCCTGTCTCAGCTTCTGGAGTAGCTGGGATTAAAGGTACACGCCACCACATCCAGCTAGTTTACATATTTTTAGTAGAGACGGGGTTTCACTGTGTTGGCCAGGCTGGGCTGAAATTCCTGACCTCGCAGTCCACCAGCCTGTTTCAAATTGCTAGGATTACAGGCGCCAGCCCTGTAAATGTTTCCTATCAGACTGAAGACCTATGTTGATGTTAATGCTGGAGGGGTATAATGAGGCACATCCCATCTCCTTTTCCCATCATGGCCTGAACTAGATTTTCATATTAACTCTGGAATGCACTTGGCCAAGAGGAGGGATCCATTCAGATGTCTATGCGGACCTTAGAATTTTGTTTTTGGTTTGGTCCATCTTTATCATTCTTTTTTCCCCCTACTTTTTCATAACCATCTTTTAATTCT